ACTGCTGCTCTCTTGCGCGCTCTTCATGAAGTCCTCCTCAGACTGCCCTCCACCTTAACTAGGTTCCCAGACAACGCTTTCAGCACACCCCAGCATTTGCAACACCAACTCCTTTTCCTTTACCTTTCGGCCAACACTTCACTGTGGGCTAAAGAAGTCACCATGAGCAGCAAGTGATGTAACAGGCCTAAGAGGACAGTTCTGCCCAGCAGCTGATGTGATGTGTCCCCCTTACAGTATGGGATTTGGTGTCTCTTAACCAAAAAGGAAGGGAATGTGGCCTCCCATTCTCCACTTGGCAAGGTGCTAGTCCAGGGGGTAAGCAGGACAGGGGTGGGGTAGGGTAGGGACTGGGAAACAGGTAGGCATCACAATACAGAAGGCATTTGAGAAGCAGGTAAATTAGGAAAGGGCAGAGGGTAAAGAGGTTGGGAAAGATGAAGTGGGAGAGTTCTGGGTCTTGACAAATGTAAAAAATACCAGGAGCAATGACTAGGAGAAAGTTTCTGACCATAGACACAGTCCAGGATTGCAAAAGAAGAGAAACAGTGCTTGTTCTCCATGTTTACCCAAAAGACAGGACCCTCCCAGCCTCTTCAGCCCCAGCTCTCCACCCTCTCCTTATTCGCAGGGACCCTTTCCCGGTAGTGGGACAGACCTGGCTGTGAGAGGGAGGGCTGGAGGGGCAGAGAAGCAGGAGTCCAAGGAGCCGGAGCAGGACTGAAAGGACTCCTCAGCCTCGGCTGAAGCTTCATGTATGCCCCTCCACCCCCATTTCCTCCGGACATACGGATCCCCATTTCTTCCTCTGGTAAGACCCTGATAAGAGGGTTGAGTCATGCTTGCCCTAACCTCCAGGCTGGCTCTGAGCAGCTATCCGTACAATTAATTGAGTGTGAAGGGAGTCAAGGGACTGGACACTGCGTGGGCACAGTAGTGGCACAAAGCAAGACCCTGGAACTATGAGAAGTAGCTATCCGAGAACCCTGGTCCCTTTTGGTCATGTTCTATCAACAGAAACAACACCCCGTCCATGTCCCCCTCCCAGAGAACTCCTCCTCCCTCAATACATTCCTGAGATGCATTCCAGAGGCATTGGGCAATTGGGGGTGGGGGGAGTGGAGGACAGGAGGTCAAATCCTAGCAAGGAATGGAATGCAAGTATACTAGGGCTAAGGAATTTTGGGGTACATGGAGAATGTCATCAGTTGCAGGTACCTACAAGGGCACCTACAGAAAGATAGGGCGTTACAAAAGGGGCAAAGTGAGAGAGAAAGTTGAAGACAGAGTCAGAAGGGTTGGGGGAATAACACTCAGTCTGTTACCAAATTTGGCCTCTGAGTCCTCAACCGCTAGGAGGGGGGAGGGGTTGTGGGTGAGACTGACATATCCGGCCTCAGGCTGCTGGAGGCTCAGTTAGGGCTGGACTGGGCAGCTGAAGGGCTGGACCTGACTTCCTCCAACACAGGGTCTTCATATCCATACACGCATTCTTATTCTTCACCAAGGCACCTTTGCCTATACACAGGACTTGGTCCCACAAAATTAGCTACACTGTCTCTACACAGATCGTATGTTGGTTTCACAGTCCTACAAAAGATCTATCTTCTTGCAGGTAGCACACACACACAAATTGCTTTCTCCAGTGCGCAGGTTCCCAGCATCTCCGTCCATTATGCACACGGTTTTTCCTCCATGCATTCTTTGAGGGCATGCTGTGGGAAGGCCATGGCCAAACTTTCAGTGGCTGGGAACCAAGATGAGTAAGCTCTAGACTCTGCTTTCTGAGTTGCAAGCCTTCAGGTGGGTGAATAAGCTAAATACAGAGTTACAACAGAAGGCAGGATGTGCAAAGCGCCAAAATGTGCTGCTCAGAAAAGGGGTCCCTCGAGGTCAGAGAAGCGGGACCAAAGTCTCCACGGAAGGCACCATTTGAAGTTAGCATTTAAAAACAGGAAGATAATGAAAAGTAACAATGCTGTGTCATTTATTGGCTATATGCTAATTGTGTTGTATACATAATTTCAGTTAATCCTTACAACAACCCTGCAAGGTAGGTGTAAGTATTTCCATTATTACAGATTAGGAAACCGAGGCTCAAGAACGTTAAATGCTTTTCCAAGTACTTGTCCAAATAGTAAGTTGTGAAGCCAAAATCCGAACCCAGGTCTCTCTGCCTCCAGAGCCCAAGATCGCTCCATTAGGTCAGTCGAAGATGAGTCAAAGGTAGCATCCCAGGCAGAGAGAATAGCATTAGCAAAGGTGGAGAAGCAGGAAATCGTGGAGGAACATCCAGGAAAGTGAGTAGGCAAGCTGGCTGAAACACAGGGCACCTGCAAGGGAGCAGCGGTGGGGAAGTCAGGGTTAAATGGAAGGCAGAAGCTGAGAGAGGAGGATGAGGAACTTAACTGACTGGGGGGAGCAGGAGATCAAAGAAGCTCTGAACAGGGACAACATCCCCAGAAGTAGATTTCAGGGCAACTTTGGGGCCAAATTAGGAGGAAACTGTATTAGTCCAAGAGATAATGAAGCCAGAGTTAAAAGTTGTGTAGAGAGGAAGCTGCCATGCAGAACAAAAGTAGAACTGATGTAGGAGCCTCTTCTGTCAAGTCCCAGGAACCTGAGCCCAAAGTCAGGGCTGTGACCAGGAGCCATTCACTGACTAGACGGCTTCAGTTTAAGTAATACAACCAGGAATGGGGATAGGATTAAGTTAGGGTGGGAATGTGGGGATGAAAAAGGGAAAAGGGATATGATATGACAGTATTTGTAGGTAAAGGCACACAGGTAGGGCTACTCACAACATCAGGCTACGACTGGGGATGACAGGGTGTAGAAAAGAGACAGGGAAGGTGATGGTAGGAAAGAGACACATCTGATGAGCAACTGCATCAGGTGGGGAAGGAGAATGACTCCATGGATGGTGACTAACTTGGGGGATGACAAGAGTGAGGTCAGAGGCTGGGTCAGGAGCTGAGAAGAGCTAGGGATGTGGACAGTGGCTAACTAGGCCGGTGGGAGTAGTGAGGGATACTGACAGTGTCTAAGTAATGCTGGAGTTGGGAGGGGAAGCAGCATGGGGTAGAGCCAGCAGCTGAATCAGGCTGGGTAGGGGACAGTGGCCAGTGGCAGGGTCAAGCTGGGCGTGACATGGGGGTGTGGTCAGTGGCCTGGCTGGGCGTGGGATCAGTAAGACCCAGTTTCCTCTTTGGGTGTCATTTCCTCTTTTCCGTTAGGGAGTGGGGGAAGGGGAAGGGGATCTACAACTGGACCTAGAAGTTAAAGGAGGCTCAGAGATCAGGGGGTACACATATCAAGAGCCGGCGGGGGGATTCAGCAGTTGACCAAGTGGTATGCAGGTATGAGAAAGTGACTTACAATGACGGGAAAGCTCAGGTTTGAGTGACAGAAAATGAAGTAGATGTGTGGATGAAGAGATGGGGAAAGAGGATGGGAAACGGATGGTTAAGATGAACACTAGGAAAAAGCTAAAGACCAGGAAACTATCTCTAGTATAAAGGGTGTGCAATGTAGAACCAGGAAGGGACAAAGACTGAGAGAGAGCGGTATGTGGGAATGAGGGAAGCTGTAGACTTACACTGTCAGAACTCAGCTGACAACAGTGCTTCTGTGCTCAGCCTCCCCTGAGTCACCGCCCTCCTCTTTCTAAGTCTTCCCCACTCACGACTAGACTTTGTCTGACTCCTGGGTCTCTTTCCACTTCCCACCTGCCACCTAGTAAATAAACATGGTCCAGAAATCACTGCCTCCCAGTGATGGTGGCCTCAGAAAGTCTTGGGCTTAGGCAATAGAATAAAGAAAGTGGAGTCCCAGATGTTGGCAGTTGTAGCTGAAGCCCAGGGCTCTGGCCTAAAGTTAGTTTGTAAAAGAAGACTCTGTGATTACACAGGAATAAGAGACCTCTTATATTTTACCTCTTCAACTGTAGCTGTGACCTCAACCCCTAATGTTGCCACCAATTCCAAACATTAATCCGATTGTTTTCTAATTCCCTGTACTTTGACATTCCTCCCTTTCCTAGCAGACACTCATACTAATTAGTTTTTACTGTAGGCCCAGGTCCCCCAACTTTAACCCTAAATACTGACACCCTAATCCCAAAGCTCATTTCTAATTTGCTTCCTAATTCACCTTTTCGCTCTTTATTCTTAATGCTGATCACAACAACTGCCCTTAACCCGTAAAACGAGGTTCTAAGTCAATTCCTATTGTTGATCCTTAACCCGGTCCTGTACTCTTGAGTTATGCTGGTCATTTCACAAAACACAATAATGTACTCCAGTTTCCTAACTTCTAAGGGGATTCTTGCTTTCTAAACCCGACCGCACCTAACCCCAAACTCACCCAAAGCTTTCCAAACCACATATTCACTATCGGCTAACACCAAAGCCCATCCACGCCCAGTGCCTCACTACCACCCAACTCCTCACCCTCCAAAAAAACCTAGCCCAGACAGAGAATTACCTACTCCCACGAAAGGGGCCTGCCTCTCGCAATACGGCTAGCTTAATTCCAAACCCAAACCGAAACACACTGGACGCTGACCTCCCCAACAGAACAGGACACAGGATATGCAGGAGGATAGGGGGCCCCGCCCGCCGCTTTCCGGGCCGGCCTAGCCCAGCGGCCCCACCTAGAAGCTCCGGCCCAGCCCGCCCGGCCTACCTGCGCTGCCCGGCTCTGCGCCCCGCCCGCCGGCCCGCTACCCGCTCGTTCTCCTGGTCGCTCAGGGGCTCCGGCCTCGCCCTCCCTTCGACACTGTCGTCCACTTCCGTCCTGGAAACGTCCCCCGCCCGCCAGCGGCGCCCTGGGCCCGCGCTCTATGGTCGCGGAGACTGCAGGAAGCTGCTCTGGCCGCAGCTCTCGATGCTCGGGCGCCCGCGGAGCCCGGCCGCCCCTCCCCAGCAGGAAGCGAGGGTGCGGCGCGCTGGAGAGAGCGCCCGGACGAAGCTGGCGTTCCCTTTTAGACTTGAGCTCTTTTTTTCTAGCTCGCGGCGGGGGCGGAGCCCGATCCCGAGAACGCCCGCCCTGGGGTGTGGGAAGCTGTAGGGACGTCCCCACAATTTGCATAGCCCCCGGGACGTGGCGCAGCCCGGGAGCCACTTCCGAGTTGGAGGGAACTGCAAGTCCCAGGACGCCACGGGGCTAAGTGCATCACTTCTGTTCTGTAGAAGCTGGGAGGCGGCTGTGACTCAGAGTGACCGCTAGGCCCCTGGCGGGGAGTGACTAAGGTGAGTAGAGCGGGCTTGAGTAGTAGGGGTCGTGCCTAAGGTTCAGAGATTGGATCTGCGTGGAGGGATTTCTATTTATAGATATCCCAAATGGATCCTGGTGGTCAGGACCTGCTGGCTTTGGATCCTGGTGATCAGGACCTGCTGGGCTTCCTGCTTGAGGAAAGCGGAGATTTGTGGGCTGCGACTGAGCAGGACGTAGAGGCTCCGCTGGACTTGCAGCTGCCGCCTTCCGAGGTAGGTGGGTGGGCGTTTTGAGCTAATGACGTCTGTGATACCTAAGGTACGGAGATAAATCAAGGCCTTTGAATTCGCTAGAACTCCGTGCAAGCACTAAGCGACTGGGAGGTGGAGGATTTACTGAGCTCTCTGCTCAGTCCCTCTGCATCGCCGGATGTTCTCAGCTCTTCCACCTCCTCCAGCTCCTCCGTTCGCCATGATCACAACTACTCCCTCCCACAGAACCATGTCTCCATAGATCTAGGTGAGTGTGAAATGTTAAGTTTTGAGACAGGAGAGAGTTCACAGTCCTAGCTAGGCCTACTTTGGCTTTTTGCAGATACTGGGAGCTTCAAAAAGGACGGGTTCCATGTGACTCCACTGCGTGTAGAGGAAACAGCAGCGGAGCAGGTAGTGGACTTGATTTTTCAGGATTACCTCCTCACCTTGCAGGGGCCGAAATTACCCCGTTCTGCTCTCACAGACCCGTGCAACTCTACTCTCTCCGCCGTTTCCTCCAACCTTAGGAGATTTCTAGGCTGATACTGACAGAGGAAGAGAAGAGGCTCTTGGAGAAGGAGGGGCTTACTCTGCCCTCAACACTTCCTCTCACTAAAGTAAGGTTCCTGTTGGTGGAGCAATAGCTGGAGGGGGATTGTGTGACCTAAGTAGGCAAACTCAGTTTATTTCATATCAATTACGTGAAAAGGACCGAGGTCAGAACCGAGGCAGACCACCTGTTTGCAGGAACCTGAGGCAGGAAGGTAGTAGGCTAGATGCCAGGGTAGGTCCCGATCTTATGGGGCATATATAAATCCTGCTGTTCCTTTCAACATTATCAGTGCGTGGGTTACTAAGAAAAGGCCCTTGCTTTCAGGCCTAATGACCTGGTATTTATCCACGGGACCCTCATGAGGGAAGGAGAAGACCTACTCCTACAAGTTCTCTGAACCCCAAACAAGCACATACCCACATAAAAAAAGATAAAATTTTAAATGTCAGCTAATATTAGTACAGAGCCCTGAAAAGGACTGCAAGTGAAGGGCCTTGACAGATTTGTTATCATGCCACTTCACCTCTTTCTCAATGAGAGGCTGAACCAGTCTAACAAAAACAATTGTCAAAGCTTGGCATAGCGCCTCACACCTTTATTGTCTCAACACTCTGGGAGGGAGAGGCAAGAAAGCCACTTTCCAAGTGCCTTTTTAACATATTCACAGTATCTTTTGCTAAATTACTGGGGGCAGGAGGATCAGAAGTTAAAGGCCAGACATAGCATCATGTTGAGTTCAGGCAGGCCTGGGCTAAGACACTGCCTCCTATCCCTCTACCACCATTACAAGGCGAGTGAACAATGTATTAGTAGGAAAAAAAATGGAATTTGGAAATTATCAATAGTGGTGCTTTCCTTAGGACATTAACTGTCTTGTCATCCTTTACCCTGGCCAGAGCATATTGTAATCCCCCCCACACACACTGAGATTTGAATCTAGCACCTCATGCATGCTTGTCAAGTGCTCCACCACTGAGCTACGTCCTCTAGCCCTTGTTTATTAAGACAGGGTCTTGTAGGCCCAGGATGAGCCGGCCTCAAACTATGTAGTGGGTAAGGAACGCCTTTGAACTCCTGATCCTCCTGCTTCCAATTCCCAAAGACTAGATTACAGGTGTATGACATCATTCCTGGCTAGTGTCCAGGTTTGACAGGTGTTATCAGAGAATATGAGTTACCACCTTTCTTCAGTTTTCTGGAAAAGTTTATGTGCCTTAAAATAAGGATATATTCTATATGGCTCTAGAGAGTCTAGGTAAATCCAATGGCTGGAAATTATAATAAGATTGATGTTGGTTTAGGTTAAGGATGGATGTCAAGTGGTCTTGTATAGGTCAGTCTGGCCTCAAAACTACTCTAGTCAAGGATGGTCTTGAAGTCTTGATGTCTTCCCTCTACCTTCCAAGTGCTGAGATTACAGACATGTACTACCACACCTAGCTTAGGAGGAATTTTTAAAAATTATTTAAATTAGATGCTGGAAAGATGGTTTAGTGGTTTAGGGTACTTTCTGCTGTTCGAGGGGGTCTGGGTTTGAGTCCCAGCAACGACATGGCAGCTTAAAACTGTAACTCCAGTTCCAGGAGCTATGACACCCTCTTCTGGTCTATGTGGTGCCCGGCACACACATTATTCAGAGACATACATACAAGCAAAACACCCATCTACATAAAAATAATAACCAAAAAAATAGTCTGGCTTTGAGTGTTGAACACCTGGTCCTTGGAGACATCCACACAGAAGGTGAATGCCTCTTGATCAAAGACGCTGTGGAGGGTCTTTGGGAAGAAGGCTGAACTCAGCTGCCTTCCAACACACCTATGTAGTGTATATAAGGTACATAATTATATACCCTGGCAGACCTTTTTCCTGTCTTCTCTTAGGTGGAGGAACAAGTTCTCAAACGGGTACGGAGGAAGATTCGAAACAAGAAAGCAGCTCAAGAAAGCCGCAAAAAGAAGAAGGTGTATGTCGGGGGGCTTGAGAGCAGGTAAGGAAGAAAGAACATGGGGAAAAAAGTTGGAAGCCTTAAGTTTTTGAAAGGAGGATATAGGCAATACTTTGATATCTGTGTTATTCTCCAGGGTCTTGAAATACACAGCCCAGAATCAGGAGCTGCAGAACAAAGTGCAACTTCTGGAGGAGCAGAATCTGTAAGCCTCCATTTAGAGCCATCCATTTCCAATGCTTATCTCTCTTCTCACTGTTTCCGCGGGGAGAGCTCCCAAACGCAGAAATCTGGTGGTTGGCCCTTACCACATCTCCAGCTCAGAGTGAGGGGAATACATTTGCAAGTAACTAAGGAGAAACTAAGTACCAAGATAAAGAAAGGGGAAGTAAAAGACTGAATAGAGGTAGTTAACAGGAGTTGCAATTATGGAGATGGGACTGGGTGGGGAAAGCAGTCAGGTGTAGAGAAGACAATATATTTGTGTTTGGCTGGAACTCGTTAGCCACTGGGTTGTTGGCGATTACATACACGGTTCATCCGCTTCAAGACAAAATTTCTCTGTGCAGCCTTGGCTGTCCTGGAGTCACTTTGTAGATCAGGCTGGCCTCCATCTCACAGAGATCTGCCTGCCTCTGCCTCCCAGGGTGCTGGGCTTACAGGTGTGTGCCACTGTGCCTGGCGAGAATTTTTTTGAAAGTTATTTGGTTAAGTCAGGGCAGAGAGTTTTTATTTTTGTTTCCATACGGAACTACAGGTATTTGTGCACAAAGAAGTCATGTGGAGGAAAAATGGCAAGGGAAGTTAAGAGCTGGGATCCACTGTACCAGTGGAGAGGGTGGCTTCAACAGGAGGACTTCATGTGACTTAGGGTGCCAGGTCAGGGCCTGCTCACCGTTGTTTTCTCTCTTCTCTTAGGTCCCTTCTAGGTCAACTGAGGAAACTTCAGGCCATGGTGACTGAGATAGCAAACAAAACTAGCAGTGGCAGCACATGTGTCCTGGTGAGGATGGGACAAGAGATCTTTCCCTTGGCAGAGACAGGACGTGTGACCCAGAGCTCTTCATCTCCTTTTCCCTGTGTTCTAGGTCCTGCTGTTTTCTTTCTGCCTTCTTCTGTTACCTGCTATGTACTCCTCTGACACAAGAGGGAGTGTGCCAGCTGAGTATGTCGGTAAGAGGACACCGTAAGGCATGGGCTGGGGTTGAGGGCATCTTCTGTGTTGTCTCCTGATCAGTCTTTGTCTCTTCAGTGTTGCACCGCCAGCTTCGTGCCCTCCCCAGTGAGGACCAGCAGCAGCAGAAGCTGCCTGCCCTACAGTCAGAGTTACCAAAGGACAGCACAGACCAGTTGCTGGACAGCTCAGAACATATGCTCCTGGCCTCCAACTTTTCCTGCCTACTATATCACATGCCTCAAGCACAGCCGCCCCTGCACTGGCCACTCCTTAATCTTTCCTCAGAGATCCCCTTCTCGAGTCCCAACCTTCCTCTGCAAGCAAATCTTTCAAAAAATGGGGGATGGCTGCCTGCCCACTGCCCTTCTTCTGTTACCTTACAGGGCAGGTATTCAGGTTAGATGTGACCATCTGGAGTATCCTCAGCCTGAGGACTCCTGTCTGTACTCCGATGGATAAGAGTAGGGGAAGAGCTGGCCTCTGTTCCTGTGCCCTGTTAGCATGCCTGGGAACCTGAATGCACCACACTTACTTATTTTTATGGGTCTTTTATTTATACCCATGTTGTCCCATGAAAAGACTTGGAGAAATTTACTGGCCTTGAGTATTTCATCCACAGAAGGAACGGGTAGTGTAAGAAATAAATAAGTAGTTGGTCAGCCCCTTTTTACTGGCACAGTCGGGGAGGAAGAAGGGAGAGGCATGATTGTCCTGTTGGCTCAGGCTGCAGTAGTTGCGGGAGGAAAGGGCAAAGACCAGTGCAGAGGCTGGGCCTCCTTAGTTCAGAGGGCTCACTCTGGATTTAGGCTTGCCAAAGATTTCTTTGGTCCACATTCTGGCTCTGTGCTTAGTTCTGTGCCCTGTGTGACTACTGGCCTGCTGCCCTTTTTATGCTGCTGCTGTTGCAGGGCCAGCTGCATGGCCCAGATGCTCAGGGGCCGCATGTAGGCCAGTGAGCGGAATACTCGCTGCTGGCAGTATGCCTCTGGGGTCTGGAAGGCCAGGCCCAGGCGTTCCCACACGGTGCGGTAACAGCCTTCAGCTGTCCTGAAACCTTCCCAAGTCAGGCCCTGTGGGAAGAGGTAGAATACATTTGTAGTAACTGGCTCTCTTGGGACAATTACTGCTTAGCTGAGTAGGTAAGATGGTAGGCCATTTGCCCTAAAGGCAAGAACCTAAAGGCAAGGTGGAATGCATGCCAGGGAAAAGGGGGCTCTGTGGATGGATAAGTGGCCTTAGGGTATTTTTGGAATAAATTTGGTGGAAATAAATGAATTGAGAGGAAGTTTTCTGGACCACAGTACAAATGATGAAGGATGGGAAAGGGAATATATTACCTCTTGGATCATGGTGGCTGCCAGCGCGTAGACCACACCCACCCAAACTTCATCAGACTGCACACTGGATCTGTCAGGGACCCCATGAGGCTGCATCCCATTCACAGCCCCCATGGCTCCTCCTGCAAAGGCCTGGACATTGAGCTCGAAGATGGTTTGGAGAGCACGGATCACATGTAGGGTAGGAAATACCTAGAGTAGGAAGAGCAGAGACAGTCTCTTATACTTGCTTCCTTCCTCCAGGGAACCCATCTTTCTGGCTTTTGTAGTTTCTCACCTCAGTGTCTCCTTCTCCCAGGCCACAGGCCCTCAGGAACCACTGCCCAGCACACTGGTCAGACATGATGATGCGGGACTGAGGCTGGGAGCTGCTATCATAGTTGTAATAGCGGCCTGGAGGAGAGGAAGGGCAAAGGAAAGCTGTTTGTGTCCCTGTAGTTGGTTTTAAGACAGCCCAGGTTGCTTTTACTCACCATTCCAGAGCAGTCTCTCGTAAGCTTCTTGGCCTCGGCAGAGAATGGAAGAAAACTTATCCTGGATGTCCTGGGCCTCACACACAACAGCCATCTGAACCATCACCGCCACAGCTGCCAGCCACAGCCCTCCACAGTAAGCACTGGTTAGGGACAGGGGCCAGGGTGAGCCTGACAGCCCCAGCCCCTCCCAGGCACGGGCACTACCATTGTTATGTGCCCACTGCCCGCCTCAGACCTGAAAACCCCGACCCCCAAACCTGGGGCCTGTGGTGACCCATCCATCATAGGTCTGGTCTGGGTAGCCGCTATTCTCAATGAGTCCATCTTGGTCCTTATCAAACTTCATTTCAGACTCCATCACTGCCTAGAGAGGGATCGAGACACTGAAGACTTAGGTTCTAAGAAAGGTACTAGCCATCTGAGTTCTCCTAAGACACCAGTCATATCCCTGGCATACTGGAAAATATGTACTCATTGCTCACCAGACACACAGGCCACATGTCCTTCAGGAAGCCTTGATCACCCGTCAGGTAATAGTCCCGATAAACTTGGAGTACAAACTTAAGGTTTAGGTCCTTCCAGTCAGCAGTATCATGAATCAAGTATGCATTGACCCGGAGCCATGGCTCGTCATCTGTTGGAGGGGAGGGGACCTGGCTTATCCTGTGGACAGGATAGAGGGTATAAAAACTGATAGATGGAAGTGGACCTTGGCGTGGTGGAATCTTACCTGGGTCCCCTATATCATGAGGGATAACATTCCTCCTTTTCACAGGTGCCATTACTCCACTCATCAGGTACCGTCGCCGTGTCAGGTCCTCCTTCAAAGTTGCCAGAGCTGGGGGAGCAGAAACCCAAGTATGTGAGGGAAAGCAGGGAATGGGCAGGCCTGGGGTGGGGCACAGTGCTGTGTGTGCAACCTCAGAGAAGAACTAATAAGCAAGATACAGGTATGTTCAGGGGGAAGGGGAATGACATATCATTTGAGGGACAACAAAGGTTCAAGGGTAAAGAAAGCTAAGAGAAGTCACCCTTACCCATATCATATTGTAGACTGAGCTCAAGTTTGGGCCACAGCATGACGAGGGCAAAAGAAGCATAAAAGTGGACATCGTATGTATTGTACATGCGATACTCCTGGCCTGGAGGAATGAGAGAGACGCTGTTGCCAGACCCTAGCTTCCCCTTGGTAGCTCTGCGAAAGTTGGAAGTAGGGCAGAGTCACCGTGTATCCCTTACCCCATCAATACCCTGGAATAGGAAGATCTGTCATCTTGCCTTACGCAGGGTACTGACTAGCCTGACACACCCCACCCACCAGCAGCCCGTACCCTCAAGATAGCCGAATCGCCCATAGTCCTGCAGAATGGGGCAGAGCTGATACATGCTCCCTCCCAGCTCCTCTGGCAGAGAGTCTTCAGGAACTTCCAGCCATACTGTGCCTCCATCAGCCAGGAAGTATAATTCATTGAACAGAGCAGATTTGTACCAGGCAGGCAAGGATCTGGGAAGCCAAGAGGAGGGAAAATGTCTTTATAAGCCTCCCCGGATAGCAAGGATTCTGGAGTTCAAAGGAGTAGGGGCACTGAGTGAATCCCAGCGCAGTCCTACTGAGACAGATCAAGTCCTATTTGTAGAAAGTACAAGAGGACTCTGTTGGCACCTGTCATCCAGTACTGGGCTCTGCCATGCCGAGATTCTGGTCTCCCAGTCTGCATATTGGCACAGTGCATAGTGGCTAAGGGCAGGTGCCACATCACCCTCTGAACCAAAGAACCGTGTATACCGCCTGGATGGAAAGAAAGGTATAAGAACAAGCGCTCTAGGCCAGAGCCCTGGTGCCTTTGGATCCCTGCATTTACCTGTAGTGGACTTGGCCCTTAGCTCCAAACATGATCCTAGGCATATCCCAAGTCAGTGAAAACTCCAAGCAGCAGCGGCCTCGTGGTGGCAGCTTACTGGAAATACAAACAGCCCCAGCAATACCCTCTCCTTTCTGTGTTGGGGTGCTTTGACCTAAGAAGCACACAGGAATCAGCACAGGTACTTCCTTGAGCCCCAAACCTAGGGACTCCTAAATCCTATTCATTATTGCATTTTCTTTCCCTGGTCCTAAGACAGGACACAGCCTTTCTTCCCAACACCTCCCAGTCAAAACCCCTGTCACCAGTGGGAGAGTCCAGCTGTCCATCTTGAAGTAGGTCCTGCCACACCTGCTGCCCAGTGCCGTCAGGGTCAAAGGCTGTGATGTAGGTTACCGTGGTATCTGCCTATTAAGGAGCAAAAAAGTCTGTGGGGGCAAGTACAAGTACAGTCTTCTAACTAGGTCTTCTCCTCCTCTTATCACTGTCACCTCTGAGATCCAGAGAATGCGGGCTGTGATGAGGATGGGACTCGTGAGTTGATGAAATGAAAGACTATGAGAGGCAGAAGTAGGTTCAGGGTCAGGTGTGAGGGCAGGGGTTCACAGGGAGAGGTACAGAGCAGACTATTCCATTACCCTGCATCGTGCAGCCACAGCCATGGTGTAGGGATTTGGAGGGGTTGGATGATGCAGGAGGAGCCCCTGGACAGTCGTCCCATCCTGTTCCAGACAGAAGGGCTCATTCCACAACCCTCCTGGGGCATCATCTTCACCTCCTAGTCCATTCCGCATGGAGAACATGATGGATACATCCAGAGTTTCATCTCCTTCATTTTCTACATCCCACACAAAGATTCCTACAGGGAGGCTGCTGTCCTGGGGATAAAAGATTGGACTCAGTCTCAGTGTATCTATGCTTGGCTCCAGTTCTTAGGACCAGTCATGGGCACTGAGAGCCTTCTCAAATATTCCCCAGTATATTCCCTCTGTTCCTTGCATCTCCCATATTCTCAGGAAAATGGCCTACCAGAAGATCTAGAAGGCTAGGATTAATTGGTCTGGGAAGCCAGTGTGATGTTCATAGCTCCAACCTCTCCCTCTTGTAAGTCATAAAATTTCCAGCAGCAGTAGATCTGGGGGAGGGAAGGTAATGGAGGAAATAGATGAGGAAGCCTCACCTGGTAGTCATGGGGCAAAATAGGTGTGATCTGGCGGCAGGTGAGGGTGACACTCTGGCCAGGAAGCTGATAGACTGTCCAGGCTCGGGGATAGAGGGCATGGTAGAAAGCAAAGTAACCACACAGGCCCCAGTTCCAGCTGTGCAAGACACTTGGACGCTCCAGGGACAGAACTTGCTGATACACAGTCCGCCCATCCCGCCGCAAGCATACTGTAAACTTGAAGAGAGCAGACAGGCAGGAACAAGTAACACACTGGTCCCCTCAACCCAAGGCCTCCTCCCTTTTCAGACCCTGTCATCACCAGCCTTGGGTTGTCTCCCAGGCCTTCCTCCCTGCTCAGTAGGCCACCACCATGTCCATCTGCCTCCCTTTCCAGCTAGCTCCTAGACCTCCTCTCTTCATGCCTGATTTCAGCACCTTAATCAGGCCTATACTATCTGCCTCTTGGTAGCAGGAAAACGATCTAACAAATCAGTATGTGGCTGCTTAGAATGTTTCAGTGACTCCTAGAGCACTCAGGCTGAATTCTAAACTCTAACCTGGCTTTCAAAGCCTCAATAGTCTGGCCTCTGCCTCTTCCTGGGCAGTCTGATCATACAAATACTCTCCAGTCATTAAGCACCTTTATTTCCTCATGACTCTGCCCCATAGTCATCTCCATCTGGTTAGATCCCTAATCTTTCAAGGAGTAAGTCAAATACCTCCTCTTCCTTTTTCCAACAGGGAGCCATTCTGTTTGCCCTCATTCTGTTCCTCTTCATTCTAGTATTTGGTGAATTATGTCACAGTGTTTTTATTTGCTACCCTGTGTCCCCAACTGTCCTATGGCTTTTTCTGAAGGCAGGGGCCATTTCATACTTACTGAGGTGGACCTTACAGAGCTGACATGTGTGCAAAGAACAAGCAAAGTCTCTGCAGTGCTGTCTGGTTCCCTAGTCTAGCAAGGCCCCTCATGGCAGCAGTCTCCATGTTCTCCAGGTCTTATTTCTCCCAGCAAAACTTTAGGCTCAAGAAAGGAGGAATGCTGAGGGTTTAATATCTGTTTTGTTAGTCCAAATATGCTTGGTATTTTCATTGTATATAAGGTTTTTCTTTCTCCTATCTCTTTTGAGATAGGGTCTTGCTCTGTAGCTCAGGTTGGCCTTGAACTGGTGATCCTCCTGCCTCAGTGTTGGGATTACAGATATGGGGCCAGCCATAAAATACTTTTTCATCTTGCTGGTAAAGTATAAATGGTTAACACCACCAGCTCTTTGTCACAGACAGGACTGGCTCTGAGTGGCATCCTTTCTCTACCATGTTGCCTTGAGCCTGTTACCATGCTGGATCCTGCTTCCTCATCTGTAACATAATGATAATGGTACTTTGTAGGATTGTTTTTAATATAAATATCCCCCAAACCTACCACAGTGTATTGACACAGTATGCAGGCAATAATTACTGCAGAGCCACGTTTCCAAAGGAAACGTATTCCTTGGAATACAGAAGAGATGAGTCATGGGCTGGGGGTGGAGCTTGGATATTGGGCACACCCACTAAACCTAAATTGAGAATGATACTGTCATCTCTCCTTTAAAGATAAACTGAAAGCTTGAGGAAAAGGGAACCTGCTAACTCAAAAAGGGAGGTCATTTGAGAACTTTGGTGAAGGGCAGGTCCCATACTGTCAGTTGAGGCCCAGATATGCTATAGAAACAGAAATGAAAACCCTGGGCAGACCACTAGAGAGGCACATTGGCTGAAGGCTTACAAATCTAGGTAAGGAGACTTAGTGCTTCACCACGACTGTTTAGGTTTTATTTCCTCTCTTCTGATCTTTTTAGATAATAAATTGGGCCAGCCAAGATGGCTCAAGCAAGTGAAGGTACTTGCCACTAAGCCTGACAACCTGAGTTTGCTCTCCCAAGTCCACATGGTACAAGTGAGAATCAACTCCTTCCTACAGGCTCTTTTGATCTTCACAGCATGCAGGTGCCTCAGTGAACAGTGCATGTAAGTTAAGCATGGAGGTTTGAAGAGAATTTGTAGGCGCTGGTTCTCGCCTCCCACCCTGTGGCATGGAACACTGGTGGTCAGACCTGTGTGGCTTTACCTACTGGGCCATCTCACCACACCCCCTGACCCCCGTTTTGAGAGACAGGGATGGGTTGCTCAGGCTACTCTCAGCCTCACTATGTAACTAACGCTGGCCTTGAACAACTGGTCCTTTTGCATCTGCCTCCCAAGTACTGAGATTATACGGATGCACTGCCCCACGAAGCTCCCAATGTTCTTTTAGCTAGCTTAAGTGACCCAGGAATTGTCTCCCCTTTGGTGGGTACTGGCTGAGCTACTTCCCAGAAGAGTTTGAGCTAGGCAGGAGACATGTGCAATGAGCATTACTGGGGTTGTTCACTCTTTCAAAGAACATGGGTTCTGTGTCCATCTTAACCTGTTGTCCATCCTAGGACCAGGTGGGCATACAGCATCCTGAAAGCATGTACTGAGCATGTGACTGTCTAACAGTCACTTCTTTGCCTGGCCCCGCCCCCTTCCTGGCTCTTACTTGGTCTGCAATGACTGTCTGGTGCTGGTACATTCCAGGATTAAGCTGCCAACGACAGAATTGGCCTCTCCAGCCCCGGGTGATAGTGCCTCCTCCAATGCCACCCAAGGGACAACCTAGAGAGAAAGTCAGGAAGGTTAATGGAGAATTGGAAAAAGAAAGCAAGGCCACATCTTTGTCTGGGCTCTAAAAACCTAAGGAACAGAGCCATGTGATATGCATAAATTAGAAACCTCTGCCCGACTCTGCAGAAGCACAGAAGTTGACTGTCTCTGAAAAGAGCAGCTGAGCTGAGACTCACCGTAGATCTGTCTCAGGGGTACACAATTGAACATGTCGATGAAAGGGGTCTTCTTTTCCACCTGGGTCTTCCGGTACCACCACTTGAAGTACCTGAGGAGCAAGTGTCAATGTGAGTGTAAGGTAAGTGGGTTTTTCTTATAAGCTGCAGTCATCTCCCTTTACCTTGTCACCCTGCTGTGAGCTCTCGCTAAATGTCACAGGGATGGCAGGCTCCGTGAACATTCCTATAATCTTAGCATTCTGAGGCCTGAGGCAGAAGGAAGTCTGAGGCCAGCATGGGCTATAGGGTAAGACTCTGTCTCAAACAATATCTTTCTCTCCATTATTACCCCAGTTCAAGGTCCCTTATCTTCCTAGTTGCTCAAGTACCATTGTAGCATGCCTTGTTTCTGTACTCTGAGAGAAACTGACGGCTCTAACACCATTACCACTGTTTTAGTCCAAACCTCAGGAGCGTTTTGTCTGTGCTGAAAGGGCCAGTGGCCCTTCCCTGGCTATATCCTCTTCCACATAGCTCCCTAATTTCCAAACAAGCAGAGGCTGCCAAAAGGACTTCCTCCTTTAGAAAAGATTTTATTTATGATTATGAAAGGTAAAAAATAAATAGAGAATGTACCAGGTAGAAGGGAAGCAAATCATCTCAGCTGAAGATAACCGCATTTATATTTTCAGGACCATTTCCTAATTAAGCCTCATCCCCCCTTTAGCATTTAACTCTAAGTTTTCAGAGTTTGCTTTTCCAAAATACCCAATAAATTAACTGGGCATGATGGCTCACACCTGTAAAACCAGCACTTGGGGTTGAGACTAGCCTGGGCTACATAATGAGTTCCAGGACAACCTGGGCATCAGAGTGAGAACCTGTCTCAACAAAGCAAAGTCAGAATACCCACCACAGGACAGCTTCCTGAAAGTCACAGTGTTTTTCTGTTCCTGCTCCTTGCTCCGTTTCCACAGGAAAATGGTCAGGACTGTCACATACAAATAAATGTCTGTACTTTGAAGGGCAGGACATCTGCCTCAGCCTGCCTTCTAATCTTACTCCTACATTCTCATTCAGGAGGGGCCGTGAAGCAAGCCCCGACAGTCTTTCCCGCTTGTACTCTCCTCCTTAACCAACCATTTTATGCCCAACATTCAGTCACATCTACGCAAGTACTAGGTATGTGAGCCCTCAAGCTTTTGTTTCCTCATCTACAAAATGGGAATAACTTCTGCCCTAGCTACCTCACACAATCATGGAAGATCAAATAACCTGACAGATAAGAAAGCCATAAAGTAGAATATCTATGACAGGCATGATTATCGCCTCACACTACCTCAGTTCATAATTAGCCACTGCTTTGTTATTACAGTGTGTTCCTCACATGAGCATGACAAATTTTTAAGTTCCTTGGGTTAAGGGACAATGACCAAGACTAGTTGAATGTTATCATAGCTCTAGATACAGGGCAAAGCCCATAAATATTTGATGAATTTATAAATGAATGGATGTACAAACTACAGACATAGAAAGAGCAATGGAAGACAGACTGGAGCAAGAGTTGGGAGGGGAGCAATATATTTAAAAGAAAGAAAGCAAGTGGGGCGTGGTGGTGTGCGCCTTTGATCCCAGCACTCAGGGAGGCAGTAGCAGGGAGAACTCTGTGAGTTCGAGGTCAGCCTGGTCTACAAAGAAGCCTAGGACAGCTAGGGCTGTTACACAGAGAAACCCTGTCTAGAAAAAAAATAGTGGTTCATTCTGGGGACAGGGTAAAAGGCATGGGAGACAAAGCGACAAAGGTAGTAGTAAGGCTTGAAGGTCCTCTGCCAGTTTAGACAAAATAGGACAGCAATGAGAAACCAGATAGGAATGGAGAAGAACTACAAGATACGAGGCAGGACAAAGAACTATCTGGTAGCAAACATTTATTAAGTGAACTGACTTTGGCTAAAGGAAGAGCAATCAAAATTGAACTCTCACTAAGTTCAGACGCCAGTAACTATTCCACCAGCACTCCTGATCAGGGCGCCCCTCAGTTCAGCTCAATTCAGTATGTCAGGGTCATTCCTGACATACTCAGTTCTTTATAGTATCCATCTCAACTCAAAAATGATCATTCTGAATTCTCACCTCTGCTTTCTACTCATACCATTCTAAAAGCTCTGTGTGGGTGATTCCCACCCTATCCTAGTATGGGAAGCCAAGGTCCAAGGGGCTGAGCAAGAGCTTGAGGTCTCTGTGACTCAGCTCATATTTGGTGGCTAAGTGGCTAGGGTGAATACACACTTGTTCTTGCTCTCTTCCTGACGACCTGCCATCCACTGTGCCTGTCTCAGCACCCTCTGTCCCATTTTGACACAAAGGTTTTGGAGATAGAACTGGACTGAAGAAATATTGCTAATTCTTACGGACAACTTGACCAGATCAAGAATCACCCAAGAGGCAAGCGCTTGGGCTGCCTACGAGGAACGATTATATTCGGTTAGTTGACGTGGGAAGATGCACCTTAACTGCGGGTGACACCATTCCATGGGCTGGAGTCTGAACTGAACGAAAAGGAAGAGAGCGGAGTGCTCCCATTCGTTGCTCACTGCCCCTGCCTGTCATAAACTGTGGCTGCCGCCATTATTTCTTTGCCATGACAGAGTGTGCCCTCAAACTGTGAGCCAAAATAAGCCCTCCTTAAGTTCCTTTTGTCTGATTCTGGTCATGGCAACACGTAACTAACACAGTCAGTTTCATAGAAGATGGGCCACCCACAGGAGCCAAATGTCCAGGCAGCACCAGGCCCTTCTCATTGCCTAGGGCTAGGGTTATGTAAGTAGCCTTCTCACCACAGTCCACACGCACCAACGGGGGCAGGGAAGGGTTCCCTATTTTAGAAGCTGTTGGGGATGAGTTTCCCAACTTTTATGCCTCCCTCCCTAGCAGTGTATTTATATGTGAACTGACTCAGAATGATGCTCTTCTTCATATCCATCTGTTCCTGTTAGTAGGTATGGCTCCTCCTCACTAGTCTTTGAACTCAGAGGGGAGTCCAGAGGGTGAGTAGTGCCAGCTCCGGAGTGTTTGTAAGCTCTGGCACAGGAGGGAAAGCTAAGGCTGGCTCTGCAGACCTTCCTACCAGGGCACTGGGAAGCTCTAGCATGGCTTGCTAGAAGCCATCTTTAGAGATCTAGGGACGTGCTGAATGCATGCTCCCTACTACTGAGCCTTTATCCCCAGTTCTCCCTCACCTGTTACTTGGGATGCTTTCACTGTCATGCCCAGGCTTGCTCTGAACTTTTTTATATTAAATTATATATTTTATATAATTTTATATTAAACATTTTATCAATATATTAAATTAAATATAATTATATATTTTATATAAATTTTATATTAAATTATATTTTATATTATATTACATTTTTATTTTTTATATTAATTACCGTTTTATTCACTTTGTATCCCAGCTGTAGCCCCTTCCCTCCTCCCCTCCCAATCCCACCCTCCCTCATCTCCTGCCATGCCCCTCTCCCAGTCCATTGATAGGGGAGGTCCTTTTCCCCTTTCCTCTGACCCTAGCCTATCAGGTCTTATCAGGACCGGCTGCAGTGTCCTCCTTTGTGGACTGGCAAGGCTGCTCCCCCAATCAGGGAGAGGTGGTCAAAGAGCCAGGCACTGAGTTCATGTCAGAGACAGTCCCTGTTCTCCTTACGAGGGAACCCACTTGGATACTGAGCTGCCATGGGCTACATCTGAGCAGAGGTTCTAAGTCATCTCCATACATGGTCCTTGGTTAGAGTATCAGTCTCAGAAAAGACCCTGTGCCCAGATATTTTGGTTCTGTTGCTCTCCTTGTGGAGTTCCTGTCCCCTCCAGGTCTAACTATCTCCCCCTTCTTTCATAAGATTCCCTGCACTCTACCCAAAGTTTGTTTATGAGTCTCAGTATCTGCTTCGCTACAGTGCTGGGTAGAGCCTTTCAGAAGCCCTCTGAGAAAGGCTCCTGTCCTGTTTCCTGTTTTCTCCTTCTTCCAATGTCCGTCCTGTTTGCCCTTCTGAATGAGGATTGAGCATCTTACCCAGGGTCCTCCTTCTAGATCAGCTTCTTTAGGTGTACAGATTTTAGTATGTTTATCCTGTATTATATGTCTAGTATCCACTTATAAGTGAGTATATACCGTGTGTCTCTCTGTTTCTGGGATATGCTCTGAACTCTTGAAGGCTCAAATTATCTTCCTGTCTCAGCCTCTCAAGCAGGTGGCACTATGGGTATGCACTACTTTGCCTAATTCCAACTTTGCTTTTCTGTATCAGAAGCCATCTGTCACAGAGTAGTGACCTTCTCGCTCTCTCTTCAGGGCTGACAACAGCCAGACTCAACTATTCCAGGAATCAGAGCTTGAGGAAAGGAACAGATGAATGCTGGACCTGAAGGAGTTCATGCTTAAATAAGGTACACAGAATGTTTCAGCTGCTGAGGGGAATGTAGGCTGGAGAACCTCCTCCTTGAAAAATAAAACATTGTATCAAGTAAAACAGAGACTGGACTTCTCCTACCTTGCCACAAAGTATAGCTAATCTCAAAGGGAAGTCTGGGACGGAGGAAGTGCATGGAAGGGGGGCCAAGTAGGAAAGACTGCCTACAGCACTCAATGCTCCTCCTTTTTCCTGCCGAGAAGACAAGATGCTAGGAAAACAGGATCGCCAAATAAGTAAATAAATAAAAATGTTCTTCAGCCTCACCCTCAAGAACTGCGGAACTGAAGAATGCAGGGGATATAACATACTTGACTGGACCCAGGTGGCCAACTGCTGGCCTACCCTTTCCCACCTATGCAGGGAGTCTTGAATGGGAACAAAGGAATCAAGGCATTCTAGGCAACGAAATTGACTCACCTCAAGCCCATACCGAAATGCTTTATCAGGTTGCTTAGAGAGATGTTGTTAGCATTAAAGGGTTTCCTTTTCTCTGCAAACTCGTGAGCCAAGCAGATCCGCCAGCCAAAAGGAGGCACCTGGTAGCCTCTAGCTTTACCCTCATAGGAGGCCATCAGCTGCCCAGAGTCCTCTGAATTGCAGTAGCGTGGCTCATTCTGGGGTCCACTGTCTTCAGGGCTCCCACAGTCTGTAACCCGCACAGCCTCGGGGTCTCCGGTATCTTCAGGACAATAAACTTGGGAATCTCCTTTGGCACAGCCGATTTGCTCGGAGGCTGGTACGCAGGTTACCATGTTCACTGGATCCTGGGTCCTCACGACCTCGGTGGTCTCGGGTGCCTCTGACACGTTTCTGACGTTTTGAAACGCGGGCGCTAGTTGCAGTTAGGTGCGGTCCAGGAGGGCCTGAAAGCCGTGGGAAGTTGGTATCTGGGTTAAGTCAAGAGAGCTCTTGCTGCAGAGGCAGTGGCTACGGCAATATAGTCGCCGCCGCGGGCTCTCCTTGGGTCGCGACTCTAGGCGGGAAGGGTTGGGCCTTGTTGTCATTGGGCCGCGGTGATTAGCTCGCTTGGCCGAAGGCCCACCAGCTCCACGGACGGGGGCGGAGCCGCGGTACCTGCCCGCAAAGCACCGCCCCTGGGACCCGCCCGGGAGCTCGCGGCCACCCTCGGCCCCGCCCCGGGCCGCGGCTCCGGGGGCTCCAGGGTGGGCACCGGGTCCCTCCGGCCGGGGTCCCCAGCGCCCGCGCTCAGGTGCCACCGCTGGGAGGGTGACCCGCAGCCCCGGGACCACCCTAGCCCCTTCCGGTCCGGCCGGAAGGGGCTCCTCAACCCTGCGGTGTGACAAAGGAAGTCCCGCCTCTGTAGCGCCACTGACACCGCGGACGCCACCGAGCTCCGAGCCGGTCTCGGAGGGGCGGCCAGGTGAGGACCTCCGTGAGTAAGAGTCTGCGTCTAGATCCAGAAACGGGATGGGCGACAGTGTCCTGGGCTAGGACATGGAGCCTCAAGGGAAGTGGGGACCGAGACCGGGGCCCGCGGGAGGCGGCGCAGGGGCCCTCATCCCGACTCCAGGCGCAGAGAAGTCTAGGGCTAAAGCGACGCAGGCAGTACCGCCTACCCCATCCACCTGCCAGTGCTTCCCACCCGCACCGAAACTTGAAAAAAACCCATCTTTTGCCCCCTGGGACATAAACCAACCCTAGGTCTTAGACACTCCTTCCTCCCTTCTCCTGTACTGACTTCTGGCACTCTGTTTCCTTCCAGATTTGGTTCTGGAGCTGCCATGATTGAAGTGGTAGCGGAGCTGAGTCGAGGTCCTGTGTTTCTGGCGGGGGAGGCTCTGGAATGTGTGGTGACTGTCACTAATCCCCTGCCTCCGACCGCCACTTCTGCGTCCAGGTGGGGATGCTGGTTCTGAAGGCGGTGCCCCTTCAGGGAGGAAGCCTGGTACCGCTCGTTCTAAATCAGAGCTTTGGTTGTCCTGTAACTACACCACCATCACCACCTCCTCCTTGTTCACTGTGCTCTCATTGTGGTGAAGGGCTTTTAACAAAAGATGTGGACGACAATGACCCCTTACCCTCCTTTGCTCCTCCTCTCTCTAACTCTGCTAACTCCTTTTGAACTCGGCGCAGTTTTCATTGTGTAATGATTTCACTTGGGGGAGGGGGTTCTGGATTCCCTGGTCACTATGACAGTCACCTGACCTTGGTGATCTTGTCAGACAGTATTGTAGGGAGAGCATTTGTGAAGTCAAACAATCTTCTCATTCCTTCTTTTTCCTCTCCCACAGTGAGGCTCTGGCCTGGGCCAGTGCCCAGATCCACTGCCAGTTCCATGCCAGTGAGAGTCGGGTAGCACTGCCACCCCCTGACTCTAGTCAGCCGGATGTCCAGCCTGACAGCCAGACTGTCTTTCTGCCACACCGAGGTTAGAGACAGATTATCTATTTGCGTTGGAGGGAGAGGAAGTCACTGTTCTTGTATGACACGGTCACCAGCACATCAGCGACGTAGGGGAAGGGAACTGTTGATTTGGGGCTATAAGACTGTTCCCATATTGCAACAGGAAGAGTTGGCAGTTCTCAGTAAAGGACAATTAGTCATTTTATTGCAGTCTTTCTTAATTTTCATAGGTGAGAGGGGTCAGTGTATCCTTTCTACTCCACCAAAAATCCTGTTCTGTGACCTGAGGCTAGACCCTGGAGAATCCAAATCATGTGAGTGATTGCCCCCTAACCCCAGATTGCCTGCTAAGTCTCCTGGAGGGAGGATTTGGCTACCCTGACTACTGTTTCTCAACCAGACTCTTACAGTGAAGTGCTGCCCACAGAGGGACCACCTTCCTTCCGGGGTCAGTCCGTCAAGTACGTCTACAAATTGACCATAGGCTGTCAGCGGGTCAACTCACCCATCACTTTACTCCGAGTCCCTTTGAGAGTTCTTGTGCTGACTGGTAAGTTAGTTCCTGGAGGGATGGGTAGCATAGAGGCTTATGAAGCATGGTCTCAGAGGACCTGCAGAGACTCCTGGTTTGAGGGATGGTGCTGGGGATGAAGGGTGGAGAGTAGGTTGAGATGTAGACCTCAGGCATGGTTCCCTTCAGCCTTCGCAGGTCAGAGTCTAAAACTAGCTGTCTGTTTACATGTCTGATGCCTCCCAGCATTACCTCTGTTCATTCATTGTAGGTCTTCAAGATGTCCACTTCCCCCAGGATGAGGCTGTGGCTCCATCTAGTCCCTTCTTGGAGGAGGATGAAAGTGGGAAGAAGGATTCGTGGCTAGCTGAGCTAGCTGGGGAGCGCCTCATGGCTGCCACATCCTGCCGCAGCCTCCGTAAGAATCCTCTCAGAATTGCCCTGCTCCAACCTTTCCCTCAGTGTACTCCTATCCAAGAAACCCCCTGTCTACCACATCTCTTCATGGGTCCACTAGTGTCTTGTCCCCATTATGAAGAACCCCATGTTTTGGCCTCTGAGACTCAGTCCTAGATATTCCCCAGTATAAACAGTATCCTTTGGTATCATTCTTCCCAGATCTATACAATATCAGTGATGGCCGAGGGAAAGTTGGGACATTTGGTATCTTCAAATCTGTGTACAGACTCGGCGAGGACGTGGTGGGGACCTTAAACTTAGGGGAAGGAACGGTAGCTTGTTTACAGGTGAGAAAGCAGCTTTTATTGTGCTCAGTCTGAAGGGCCAGGGTGGAAAAGGGACCTGCATGAAGAGGGGTGTCTTGTAGATGTGGAAGTTGGGGGCTTCAGGGCTACCTCTAACCTACCGTTGGTATTTCCAAATGCCTGCTGGTATACATCTCTCTCCTTACTCCCAGTTTTCAGTAAGCTTGCAAACTGAAGAGCGAGTGCAGCCTGAGTACCAGCGACGCCGAGGGACAGGAGTTGCCCCTTCAGTGTCCCATGTGACTCATGCCCGGCACCAGGAGTCCTGCCTACATACAACTAGAACCAGCTTCTCCCTTCCCATCCCTCTCTGCTCTACCCCTGGCTTCTGCACTGCCATTGGTGAGAACCTGACCCTGTTGGCGGCCGGGCTTAGGTAGAGCGCCGTGGGCCCTGACCCCTAAAGCCCTCCCAGGCATGCACACCCACGTGCAACCCAACCCACTACACTTTCTTACATTTTCCACTTCACCACTTTTGTTCAGATGTGTTGACCCCTAAACTCTTACCAGCTCTAAAGAGTACTGTTCCTGACCCTCTGACAAGGCACTGGCCTCTGGTTCCTTAGCGCATTTACTTCAGGCCACCCGCCCTTGACGTCCTGATCTTGGGTTACTAGAAACTTGATATTGCTGTCCTTAATGGCATCTCTGGCTAACATGTTCACGCCAGATTCCTTAAAAACAAAGTGTTTGAGCAAAGCTTTCTGCCCTGTGCCTTTTCCTCTTTATGGATACAATCTGTTTTTTTTTTTTTTTTTTTTCTTTAAAAAAATTTTTTTGTGTGTTTTTGTTTTGGGTTTTTTCGTTTGTTTTGTTTTGTAAAGATAGGATCGCTCTCTCTCTCACTGTGTGTCTTAGACTGGCCTGGAGGACACTATGTAGATCAGGCTGTCTCAAACTCAGACTGCCTCCACCTGCCCTGCCTCATCTTCCTGAATGCTGGAATCAAAGGCACGAGCCGTCACACCTGGCAGAGAATGTTAACTGACCTAACTGTGTTATTTTGTGTGTAGATCAGGGCATTCACATGTGTGTGTTTAGATCAGGTGACAACTTTCTAGAGTTGGCTCTTTCCATATGGGTCCTGTGGCTCAGTTTCACGTCATCAGGCTTGGTGGCAAGTCCCCTTAACCTGTGAGCCATCTTGATGGCTCTGAGCTTTTCAGTTTACTAGACAGAGTTTGTCACCGGCTTTTACTACCTACCATTTGCTTGCTTTGTGTTTGGTTGGTTTTTTAATATTAGGGTATTAGGGTCTCATGAAGTCCTCCAGCTGGCATCAACCTGATCTTGAATTGGTGGTCCTCCTGCTTCGCCGAGTCCTGGGACAGGCCTGTGCTACCACTCCTGGCCTTCTGCTTGTTCTTAGAGCAGTGGTTCTCAACCTTCCTAATGCTGCGACTCTAACCCAGTTCCTCATGTTGTGGTGATCCCAACCATAAAATCAATTTTGTTGCTACGTCATAACTGTGATTTTGCTACTGTTACAAATCACAGTGTAAACATCTGTGTTTTCCCATGGTCTTAGGCCACCCTGTGAAAGGGTCCTTTGACCTCCCAGGAGTTGAAACCCACAGGTTGAGAACCGATGTTTTAGTCTCTATGTCTTTCTTTTCTTTTGCAGTGTCCTTGAAGTGGCGATTGCATTTTGAATTTGTAACATCCCGAGAACCAGGATTGGTCCTTCTGCCCCCACTGGAAGAGCCTGAGCCTTCGACCTGGACAGGGCCTGAGCAGGTGCCTGTAGACACCTTCAGCTGGGACCTCCCCATCAAAGTGCTTCCTACAAGCCCCACCCTGGTCTCATACGCTGCTCCAGGTCCCAGCACCAGCAGCATAACTATCTGAAACTGCCTCACATGCCCGCTGTGGCACTGGTTTTTTTCAAGATACCGAGAACTCAACAGCTGGACTCCAGTGGGTCCCGCTTTTCCCACCTGGGGTTCAGTAACACAGGCAATGAGAAACAGGCTTTCAGCTGTAGTATTAATTTATTTATTTGGAGTAAATTGGCAGCTGCTAGTGGTTTCCCTGGAAGTGGCAGCAGCAGTGAGCAGCCAGCATTTGGGCGATTCTTTAGCTGGAGTGGGGAGCAGGAGCCCCAGGAACAGAGGTGTGAGCTGAGCCCCATTCTAAGTTGGGTCCTCCGCCTTTGCAGGGCAGCCGAGGGTCAGATTTTTGCACCAGGGAAAATTGACAGGTTCCTGCCTCCTGGCGTACTTCACAGCCAGCAGGGAAGTCAATGGGATGCTGAGACCTAGAGAACCAAAGATTGGGAGAGTCAGTGCAGTGAAAAGTCACCTCTACAGCCTGCCCTCCCACCTCAGACCAGCCCCCCATCCTCCTCTAGTGTGCCCCGGCACTGTAACAGCGCTCTATTCCCACAGAAGGACTTCTTAGTGTTCTAAGCAGGAGCACTTCTCTCCAGATCTACCTCGACTCCCCTCTCATTGGTGCCTTCACATCTGCAGTCTCCCCATACTCTTCTGTTTATTCTTGCCTCACAGAAATCTAGTTACTCTCTGGCCATCCCCCAGTCACATCACAGGCATTCCCCCTGGCCACTCATGGCCACTCACGTGTCACAGCAGCCCACACCAACAGGATGCAGACAGGTACAATGGAAACAGTCCTTGCGGAGCCAAGATTCACCCAGAGTGAAATAGTTCCCTTCATAGTGGCAGGGGGCTGGGGAAGAATGAGAATGGTCTGGGTGGGAGAGAATCTGCATCACACCTCCACACAGCCCTTCCTTTTCCACGGGTGGATCCACTGAGTACAGGGTCCCACCTCTGCCTTCACTACTGCCCTCCTCCTCCCCCAAGCATCAGTCCTCCTTACCTTGAGCTTGGAAGTAACACTTGCCGTTAACTCCTGGGTGCTGGAGGAGCAGAGACACAACCAAGCACATGATCTTCCAGCCTCCCAGGGTTCCCTTGCTTTGTCCGGCCCAGAGCATCCTTAGAGCCATTCCTGCAGTTCAGCTTTCTCAGACCCTTCTTGGCTTTTGTTCAGATTCCTCTGGTCTTATCCCTTTGCTTTTCTTGCCTTGCTCCTGACTCTTGGGTTTCTCTCTCTTTGGGCTCTGGTCTCATACCATGGCAGTGCCCTCTCCTCTTACAGGCTGGGCATGTTTATAAAGTGAGGACCCTGGCCCCCTGCTGAGTAGAGCTGGACAGGCTGTAACTCTGTTTCCTGAGGTGAGGGCACGAAAACAAGAGGTCCAGCTTTTAACAAGCTGTGAGAGCTGATTCATGCCCCCACACAGCCAGGAGGGGGAGGTGGCCATGGAAGGGGCACTGGACTGGGCACTTCCCCAGCCAGGAGGGGAGGGTTTAAGGCCCCAGGTGGTCCCCAGATCTTGACCTGCAGAGAGGAAGCGTTCCATCAACCCTCCCTCCACCAGCAGTGTGTGTGCTGGGATCCCTGCCTGGACCGGAGGGAGGCATTTCCTGGGGATGGATAATCTTGTGCCCCAGCCAAACCAAGTTGCTGCAGAAGGGCGCAACTGCCAGAGACTCCAGGAGGGCAGGCATCTGGAGTGGAGAGTGTGCTGCCTTCAGAGGCCAGGGCAGGGTTTCCCTGATGTGTCTGGAAAATGGCTGCCCTCAGCATTGTGAGGAAAGGGGTTCATCCATAGGCAATGCAAAGATAAACTTTCTACTGTTTTGTTGTTTTGTTTCCTCGCAAATGGACATCAGATGTAAGATTGTCCCTGGCAATGTTTCTGGCTCTCTCTCAAAGAGAAGTATCTCCTCCAAGTATCCTAACAAGCCAACCCACTTTCACAGAGGTGCCCCCTCTTTCCTCATGATGGAACAAGGCCTCACGGACTTCAGTCCTGTAAAGTGTGTTTCTGCAGGCTTGGGAAGTTGGCTGGGATCAGACCATGCCTGTACTCACGGGCCCTCTGACCCTGCGCAAGTCACTTCACCTCTGTCGTCTGGTCTCCTCATCTGTAAATACAGTAGAAGTGCTAGCTCATGGGCTTGTCACGAGCCAGCACACGGGGTGTTCTAAGCGCCATCTTTGACCCTTGGCCCTGAGAAAATAGCCATGGATTGAGGCTAAAGCTCAAAATGCTGATGACGGCTGTTGTGCACAGCCGAGGGCTTCTGTTGTGGATTGCACTCTCCAGGCCAACCGCTGTCTTCCACATGCATTCTCCAAGGTAGCCTATTGCCTCCTTCAAGAACAGATGTGGCCCTGGGAATGTTTGGTTTCGGTCCTTGACATCTGAAATTCTTCAGACCTGCTTTGAAAGGTGAAGTTGCTGCTAAAGCTGCTTTTCTCACCTCAGTACCTTGGGAAGAGGGATTGTGTCTTATTTTCGGCTAACTTTAGGACTCTGTTTCTTCTTGTTTGGCTCCTGACCTCCCTACCCCCACCCCCATCTTCTTATGTAGGTTCCAAGTCTCCTTTGTGACCACTTGTAATAATAGTTTAGCTGTCATTAAAGGCCTTGGTCAAACTGGAGTTTTCTTTCCCACATTTCAAAGGCCCAACTGCTGTTCCAACTCTTCCTCTTCTGCTTGTAGGTCATTGCTCTGGTTTTCATTCAAGTCTGTAGCCCCATTCACGTCACTGCACTCTCCATCCCTAGCGCAGTGGATATAGCGGGCTTCTGGCAGGCTTTTTCAGAAGCCACCCTGCCTGTCACCTCTTCATCCAGCAGCCATGGCAGCACACTTCTCGCCTCGTAGCTATCTTCCTCCAAGATAGCTTTTGCCTTGGCTGGGGATGTAGTTCAGTGGTGGAGTGCTTGCCTGCCATCTCAATGTTCTGGTCGCCATTCCAAAATTGAGTGAAAGAAAACGAGATTTCCTTGCAGAGGGTGTCAAGAAAGAACAAAGGAGAGCCTATCAGAGGACACCCAGGTAGGCTCCTGTGTTGGGGCAAGACCTTGACCCCTTGCTGTCTTGACTGCAGAAGGGATTAAAAGAGATCAAGAAGTCTGGTCAGTAGTTAACGTCTGGAACCTACCTGAAGGCTGAGCATAGACTATTTTCTGCAGTAACTAGAGACAATGCAGATGGGTAGCTGCAGATCATGGAGGCAGTGGAGGTACTGGAAATGTGACCTGGTGGGCATTGGTGCTTGAGCCAAGCCGAACTGCAAGATGAGGCTTAGCTTCCTGGAATGCCGAAGCAGGCATGTGGCTGTGGGACCTTCAGGAAAGAGGCTGGGCTGAACAGGATTTCTGTCTGAGGTTGCATGGCCGTGTGGAGCTGGCTAACGGCCAGGGCATTGGTGTGGATGTGTCGGACGATCAGTGGTTAGAGCCCAACTCACTGAGTCCCGGGAGATCAGCCTTTGGGGCAAGGGGCGGGGCGGAGGTGGGGTGGGGGTTGGCACCAGCTGCTATGCAGGGACAAGGAAAACATCCGCTGGAGGTGGTCCAGAATGTGGTCCGGCAGCGGTGCAGGGCAGGGGTGCAGGGTTAGGAAGTGAGCGCTTTCCGGGCTGAGTCACCCCAACCCTGACCCACTTTGCCCAGATGGGATGGAGCATGGCTTTGGAGACCATACCATGACTCTAGAAGATTTGGGGACTGGAGCCTGGGGTGGGGGTGAGAGGGTCTTGAAAAAGCCCAGCGGAATCATGGGAGGGGCTATCCAGCTGTCACCACAGTGCAAAATGCAAGAGCTCCTAAATTCATAGCTTGTGGCTGAATATAAGCAGTGAGGCAGGGTAGAGCTGGGAAACGTGAGGGGAAGGGCACGGGAAAGGCCTACAAAGTCTTCCTAGAGAGGAAGGTCAAGGAAAACTGGGAGGAGGTGGTGATGCTCAGGCTGTTTGGTTAGGCTTCTGAGAACAAGGTGACCAAGTGTGCCAGCAGGTCGCACAGTGGGACAGTCCAGTGAGGCCTGTAGGAAGGAAGGCTCCAGGGAGTACTCAGGGTTAGAGTATTTGGATCTCTGCAGTGAACAGTTCTTGGTTCTAAAGAGGCTTTCTGTGCAGGAGAAACTACATTGGGATTGCTTAGGTGGACTCTATCCATGCTGGGCTGTGACAGCCAAGGTAAAGGATAATGTAAAACATGGAATTCTCTGTCTACTGTAGTCAACAGCTGTGCCCTCCAGAGTCTCAGAGTAAGGCCGATGGGATTGTTTCCTTGTAACCAGCCAGCACTGACAAGGCAGGAAGGTTGCTACAAGGATGAGGAGGCCAGCTTGGGCTACAGAGTGAGACTTTTTTTTTTTTTTTTTAAACATTTTGCTCTTACTAAATCTTAAAATCTTGAATAAAAGTTGAAAAATCAATGTTAAGTGTTTGATTTAAAACCCAAACTTAGGTTATTAAGATTAGTTTCATGGGGCTGGAGAGGTGGCTTAGGTTTTAAGAGCACTTACACTTGCAGAAGACCTGGGTTTGACTCCCAGCACCCACATGTTTGCTCATAACCATTCATAATTCCAGTACCAGGACCTCTGACACCCTTTTTCTGATTTTGGCATCCAGCATGCACCTGGGGCACATTGATACATGGATGTAAAACACTCATACACATTAAGACATTTTAAAAGATTAGTTATGTGGCCAATCATAGTGGCTCATGCCCGTAACCTCAGCACATGGGCCGGGGAGGCTGAGCAGTCTGAGAGGGGGATTGGCTCCATGGTGCTGAGTGCCCTCCTCTGCTGACTTGAGCCTCTGGGGCTTTGGAGGGCTCTGGTGTGCCAGCTTTGCTTCTTAGCAGCAGGACATCTGCTTCCCTTTCCTTTATTCAGGTGTCTTTATTTGTAGCCTTAACTTCTCCACAGCCTTTAGCCTGTCCTGTGTGACTGACCTTTGTGAAAGGTTTCTCGGTTTGGAGCGTTGGATTTCAGTGTGCGAAGAAAAGCAGGTCAGTCGCATCTGTCTAACGCGGGCTGGTTGGTTAGAGGAAGATGGGCTGTCTAGTTCAAATGGCGCTTTTACAAAACTGCACTCGCTCTGACTTCTGAAATAGGATATGTTTGTGCTGTCATGCACACTGACACCTAATTCTATCACAGTCCTTATATTTCGTGCTATCTGAAACAAGAGGCAATTGCAAAGGTTAGGATCTTTGTAGTTTAGTTTAAAGAGTTTTTAACTCTGCAGTTGTCTTTGGTTCTAAACAAGAAAATCTGGGTTAGTTAATGAAAAGAAAGAACTGAAATGTCCTGCTTTGGGCCCTGTTGCTGTGTTCATGGTGTTCCAGCCCCAGCCCTGCCTCCCATACTTTTATTTCTTCTTTGCTTTGCTGGACGTCTTGAGAGGAAAACTCCACACCAACTTCCTCTGCTATAAATTTTCTCCTTCCTCTCATCTCTTCACTTCTTTTTGCCAACATACACCACTACTTAGTCACTTTTTTTTTAAAGCCCTTGGCCCTCTTTGGCTTTTTTCCATGTTTAACACCCTTGTTGAAATGCTGTATTTTTCTTTGATGTGTCCTTTGGTCTCTAACAGCAATGCTTTGATTATTTATTCTGCATGGTCCATTTCTGCCTTCCTTTTCTGTCACTTTTTTTTCCTTTTTATTCTAGATCATTTGTAAACTGCTTTTTACCACAGCTGTTACCTTTTCCTTGTGATTAAAATTCTTCCTCCAGATAGAGTAAAAGATATTTTTATGTTTCTTCTTTTTCTTCTTATTATAAGTTCTCAGTGGCTGGGGATATAGCTCAGTTGGTAACATGCTTGTCTCGCTTGCACAAGCATGCCAGGCTCCCCCAGCACCATCTGGGTTGCATGCCTATAATCCAACGCTTGGGAGGTGGAATTAGGGTGCTCAGATGTTCAAATCCATTCTCAGCAACATAGCTCAAGGGCAGCTTAGATTAGTAAAACCTCATCTCAAAAAAAAAAAAAAAAAAGCAACACATTTTCAGATTCACATTTCTGCTAAACACCTCCCTCAGCATTGCATGTCCAGAAGCACAGCTCAAGTTGAATGACTGTTGAAGAGTGGCCTTTGTGGTTGGCACTGTGTGAAGTGTCCACAATTGTGCTGCTGGACCCTAAATGCTTTCCAAACAAAGATGCCATCGTATGTGTGCATGATGCTGTCATATGGATGTACACAATAGCCCAAAGCAAATATATATAAATCTGACTGTTTAGTATATCACAGAAGAGCCAAGCCGGGTATGTTTTGGAGATGAAGGATGACACAGGCTAAATTTATAGTTAGAAATTTAGCAGAAACTCTTTTTTGGCATTCTGTCTTGAGCCTGGGTGAGAAGAGAATCAGCCCTTCCTGTGTGTGTGAAGAGACTTTACTGAGGAGGCTATCTCAGGGCTATGGCTTGTGAGGCTATGGTGAACGGAAGAAATGTGGAGGGGCTGCAGACCTTGAAGAATGTAGAATTGCTATCTCCAAACAGCCTACTATTCTTATAGGCTATGAAAGATCATCTGCAGCCATGATTGCAAATATGACATGTCTGTTAAGACTCCCTGAAGCTGGGTATGGTGCCGGCTAAGAGGAGGATTTCCACAAGTCTGAGGCCATCCTGAGCTCAAATGTAAGCATTGACATTTCCCATCCTGCCTCTGTACCACTGGAGCCATTCTTAACAGATTTGACATTGTGTCTTGCTTGTAAGTTTTACATTAATGGTAGTTCCCACCACCATCCATTAATCAATGTTAGCAATCATTATTATGATTATAACTAATGACTACCATGAGTCCTCATTAACTTCCTTATTTATCTGTGTGCTTTCTTTCTACCCTGCTGCATAAGCTGATTGTAATAGTAGTGTCTTAAAATTCCACTTGCTGCTCTATCACATTTGTAAATTGCTTGTATTTTATTCTTTCAGAATTTCACATCTGCATACAATGTAATTTGATTCTATTTCTCCCTCTGCACCTCTTAACTCCCCCAGATCCACTCCACTCCCATTCCCTAAAATACACTCTTAAACCATATTACTAAAAAGACTCCCAGTCCTTTGATTTACGATTCTCCTCGTTGCTGGTCCAGTTTGCTGGGCTGTCTATTGAACGAGGCAGGTTGCTTCCGGATGAGGCTGTCTGCCGTCCTGTTACATAGCTTTTGTTACTAAACCTGCCTGTTTTTGCTCATTTCTGTAGTTTTCTCTTGGAAACAATTTGGGAGAATTATTTTTACAACATGGCTCTGTTTCTGTGATTTTGTGTGTGTGTGTGTTGTTATATTTTGTTTTATTTCAAGAAAGACTCACGATGTAAGCCTGGTTGTCCTGGAGGTCTATATATACCAGGCTGGCCTTAAACTTAGACATCCGCCTGTGTCTACCTCCCAGGTACACAGGTAGAACTCCCTGGAGTTACAGGCACGGAAAGGTCTCTACTGAAGCCCTTCCGCTAGGCTGGCTGGACTCATCTGTGTTTGTCTTCCAGAGCTGGAGTTATGGGTGCACACCATTACATCGGCTCTTACAAGGGTGATAGGGAGCTGAACATGGGTCCCCACACCTGTGCAGGAAACCCGTTACCCCCTGAGTTGTCTTCCCAAGCCAGAAACTACTTTTTAAAGTTAGTTTGCATGTGTATAGGTGTTTTGCCTGACTTTATAACTGTGCACCACATTTGTGCATGGTGTCCACAGAGGCCAGAAGCGAGCATGGAATGCACTTGGACTGGAGTTAGAGATGGGAATGAGCTGCCATGTGGGTGCTGGGAATCAAACTGGGTCCTATGGCAGAGCAGCCAGTGCTCTTAGCAGCTAGTTCAGCTCTGCAGCTCCCCAGAAACTACTGTTTGTGAATTTTATTAAATAGAGAGGGACCAACAGACAATAAAGGAGTGTAAGTAGATCAGTGACAAGTCAGAAAGAATCAAAGGAGGGATGAGACACTGGGTGAGAGCATAGGGCATGACTGCCATGTCCACAGCAGAGGGAGGCCAGCCGGGTCTACAAAGAGAGTCCAGGACAGCCAAGGCCACACAGAGACACCCCGTCTCCAAAACAAAACAAAACAAAACAAAACAACAACAAACAAAACCAAACAACAACAACAACAAAAAACAGAATTGAAGAGTGAAAAATTAGTGGCCAGAGAGACGGCTCAGCAGTCAAGAGCACTTGAAAAAACCCAGTCTTGATTCCCAGCACCCACAGCAGCTCACAACCATCTATACCTCCAGTTCCATGGGCTCGAATTCCCTCTTTTGGCCTCCATGGACAGTACATAGTTAAGGCACATACATACATACAGACAAAAACTTAAGCACATGAAATAAAAAGAAAAATTTTTAAATGCAAATCCAAAAGCAGACCCAAAAAATGTATATGTAGAAGCAGCTTTAAGGAGTATCTAAGCTTTAGGATCTGAAATGATAAGAAAACCTTGGAGATTTCTTCAAAAGGATGCTTAAATACTCCTTGAGCCAGTAGTGGTATCTGTCTGTAATCCCAGCACTTGAAAGGCTGAGGTTGCCTCAAGGATATATAACAGGCCAGTCAGGGTTCCATAGTAAAACACTGTCTGAAACAAGACAAAACACTGTCTTCAACATACTTGGTAGGAGACAGCCTCATGGACTTGTTGGTTCCTAAACTCTTCCATCTACTGAATCAGAAATGCTAGAGGTGAAATCCAGAGGTTAAAATTTTATATGACACTCCCTTTTACCCTCAACCAAGTAATTTTTCTGTCCTAAGCTTGACCCTCCTGTCCTGGGCATAACTGTTACATTGCCACATTTTTTTTCCTGCATGTCTTCCTGGTACTCCAGCTTTGCTTCCGCTCTTGGCCTCTGATGCCAATGCAAATAGGGAGGCCTCAGGTTGCCAAGACAACCGAAGCACAGGAAAGCATGAGGGCCAGCACTGCCACAGGTATCGTGGCCAATGGCTGTGCTCGCTCTTTTCTTAGGGACTAAGTTGTGCCTCCTACATCCTATCTCCCAAGGTCCTGAGGCTACAGGGTGCCCCAGGCCACACCACACCCTGACTTCCTGAGGTGGGGGGACTTACTGGGTCTGGTGAGGGACAGTGAATGAAGCTTTTGATAGCAATCAGATTTGGTAGTGGTGAAGAGCTGTATGTCCCTGAAGTCTGCTTAGAGCACAAGCTTGGAAGTCAGGATGCTTCTTTTGCTTTACATTACCTATTCTTATTTCATTGGACCTTAAATCTTTTTTTTTTTTTCATCCTCCCTTTCCCCCACTAGATATCCTCATAATTTGCTTTGGACCGAAAGGTTTAGCTGTCTACTTTTGATGCACTGGGAGCAGCCAATGCCTAGCCTGGGAAGAATAGTTGTCAAATAATAATTGTGGGTTCTATTTGCTTGTCTTTTTC